TGGTACTTGAGCGGGAGTCTGATGACCCGTGATTGCTTGTCGCTCAAACAAAAAGACAGGCTGTCAAATCGAAGCTTTCATGGGATATATTGGAGTGCGCTGCTTCATGTCCAATTCTGATTGATACTTCCAAGTATTCAAAGGAAGCCGGGTTGCGGTTATTCTGGGTCCGTAAAAGCACTTTGTGATTATTCGCAAGGTTTGACAAAAGTTCCCACGTGCCACATGTTTTTTCTGATTGAAGAAAGTTCCCAGATTTGTCCTGATTAAAGACATCCCTTTCCGGAAATTTGTGTCTTTTTTTAGAACAACACACGGTTTGACAAGCTTGCAAAGAGTACCCCTGTCAAGGCCAGCCCCCCACAAATAATTCAACTCTCTGATTGACCCTGACCCTCTCCATTTCCCAAATAGCCACCGAATATGTCGGGGCAAACTGCCCAACACCAGACACCTGGTTTGGTCGCTGGAAATTCGGAGGAACGTACCTGGACCCTGGCTCTGGCCCATGGGACCTGCAATCCGAAAGTAAAAGAACGTTCAGCTATATTTCCCCTTAAAACATCCGATACTCAGCTTGGGCGAAAAGGTGACTGCCAAAATGGAAAATATAGGGACAGATAGATTTGGATATGGATCCAACAAATAAACCACGTCAGGACCGCAGGTTTTGGTCCATGTTTTCATGTACCAAGGTGCCATACCCATGTGTCCCACAGACATCTGGCCAACTTAAAGTTGGTGATCCTTTGGAGTCCTTGACTCACATTTTGGCTCAAACTTATAGAGGAAGGGGTTGGTTGGGGCTGATGCCATGTAATGCATTCAGGAGCTGAAAACTGTGGATTCGGATTGGGTATGTCTTAAAAAGCTGCAAGCCTTCACATCGGGAGTCACCATTCGCCTGCGCTCACAAGGGGCGTTTCATTTCGCTTCTGGGGGAGGGTTCTTCTACTGGGATCTGCAGAAAAAAAGGGTACCCTTATTGTAACCTCTCTACTGGAGAAGCTAAGTTTTCTACTGGTGGTTTCTTGGCTGGGCTAAGTAGCCCGCTTTTTCCCTTTCGGCGAACGTGTTCTGTTTTTTTGGAATCCGGACATCACACCCTGTTTATGAACCATCGATGTGGACATGAACTGAAAGATTCTGGAGGCAGCATTCCATGTTTTGACTACCTGAAGATAGGCTTATGGTTGATTTTTTTTCTTCGAGAGAATCCTGGGTGTAAAAGATCCTGAACTGAGGGTTTCGGTGCTTTTCCAGGAAATGCAGAGCTGCCGTCGTTAGCCTCAGATTGATCCAGGGTCTCGGATCTCGGATACTGAGTGAGGCTGAGGGAACCATGATGATTTTGGAGGCTGCCCTTTTTTGGGTTGGTTTAACCGGAAACCACGAGGAAAACCACGATTTGTTGGGCCCCCGACACATTGGTTCCTACGGCCACTTTCTGTGATACCAACGGAATGAGAGTTGAAATGACAGTAAGTCACAGGGATGGGAATCCCACGTCGGCATGGGATGATTTCGCACCATAGAGGGAGGCTTTGGTTTCTTCCCAGTTGTTGGATTCAATGGACTGAAAGGGTCCTTTTTTGTTACCTCTTTTGGGTCACTGGACTGTGCCGCTCTTGCGTGGTGCAGCTTTTTTGGGGCCAAAGATGCTGAGAGTGGTTCCTGTTGGCAACTGCCTCACAATTTTGCAGGGTTGGCATCTAAGTTCAGTAACCACTTATCCAGTCTCCTTCAATGTTTTCTAAACGAAATCTGCCATAGTCAGTGGATTTTTGTCTGGATGTTTAATCAGTTCTGACATGCTTGAAGAATGGTTTATCTGTTCCATCCATGGTTTGAACCTCACTGCATGTTACTCAATACGCATATATGTCAAACGCTAAAATGAGAGTGGCCCCCGCCAAAAAGTCAGGCAGCCTCTACAAAATTACAAGACCCCCACCAAATGCTGGGCGAGGAATATGAAGATATTATAATAGTGGGTGTCTCGACTTTTTTGAGGGTACCCCTGCTTTCTGGGAACCAAAAGGAACACCCCATTGGAGGGTGTCCCCTAAAACAATTATATATGGATGTGTGATACGTGTGTGTGCGCACATGTCTATACACGATATATGTAGATATGACCTATGAGTGGTTTGCTGTCTTCTGCATCGATGATGCGTGCGTAAACAGTGTACACTGATAAACACATCTTTGCACTTGAAGAGTGAATCAATACATAATCTCATCTCTCCCTCCGTCATGCACTCTCTCTCGCTCGTTACGTTTGTGTGACCCGAACAGCTTTCAGGATTGTGTGCCAGTGATGGTTATGAATTGTTGAATGAGTTCCAACATATGCCAAATTGTGCTTCGGGTGAGTCATATTGCAGCTCAGACTCTGAATGTGGCTTTGCATGCATTTGCTATATGCCACAAGTTCATCCAAATTGCTGTCATTGATTTAGTACTGCTGGGGGGCCTGTTAAGATTCAATACTCACACATGTGTTTTGCAGCACAACCTTGTGGCAGAGGTGGTGGGAAGCAATCAGCAGCAATATGGCGCATGGGTGGGGAACCCTGATAAAACCTCAAGACCCTGAGACGTGTGGCTTTTTCTTCACGCCATGCACCGTGCACCGTGCTATGCTGCACAGCAGCCTCATAGCTGGGAAGATGAGTTCGGCCGAGCATCTGGCATGATTGCTTCGAGCAGAAGATGGTGTGATGCATGCTGGGAGTACCCACAAACATGGGTTCACCTGGTGCCCCTAAGCCACAAATTGCATGCCCTCATCTTTTCCTTGAGCTGCATGAATTGAACTGAGTGTGCCCGGTGCTTTCCTCTCAAGTCAGTCAGTTTTGTGGTGTCCGCCCACGGACCCCAAGAAGGAAAGCCGGCGGCCATTCCAGCCCGAACCGCGCAAGATGAGGGAAAGCCGCGTGCAGCACCTGCAGACCCTGGGTTGCCCCTCTCACCACATCACGTGACATGTTCGGATACGATTGTAAGACTTGGGCGCTCTGCTCTCCAAATGTTCTACGGCGGGTTCTTTGACTGAGAACTTGAGCACGCTCTACCGCTTGGATCACATCAGCCAAGTCGCTGTGCGGCAGGGCCTGTGCTCTTGGTGAGAGAAAGACCAAATAAAGCCTGACTGTGAAAACCCCACCTCTTTAATCTCCCATCAGGCTCCTGTCACCTTCTCGTTCTTGAACCTCCACCGGCATCAGATGAGGTGCCCTCGCATCACGGCTGCTCGTGAATTTGCCTGCCTGGCTTGCAGGTGGAGGACCCAGCGAACTTTTGATTCATCATGTGGTTTGTGACCTTCTTTGGGCTAAAGAATCCGTCAAACTGTGACGCGCCGTTGTATGAAACTTTCTGGTGGCGCTGACTCACTGCAGGCGACCTTGGCCCAGGCAACAAGTGCTCAGGTGGATCTGGGTCAGGGAACACGGGCAAGTGGCCCTGCATTGAACATGAAATCCATTGAACCATCAGGCTTGGGGAAAGGTGGAAGCCGATTTGTGCAGAGCGCATTGGGCCTCATATCTATTTGAGCGCCGCAACGCTGGCGCGAGGTGCCCCGAATCGTACTGAAACAAACACTGAGCTGGCACTATTGGCAGGTACCAGTCATCGAATATGGCTCAGATCAACGACTTGATGCGGGAACTCAGAAAGGACAGTCAATTGGAACCCTCGAACTGACGAATTGCTTTGCCACCTTAATATTTCTGTCGAATACCCAGTAAGAAACAACCTGTGTTTCCTGCGCACCAGCCTGTCCAAAACCATTGCTCTTCAGAACAGGCTCAGTCCCAATGTCAGCTCCAGTTGTTTGGAGGAAGAACAAGGTTGCGTGGCTCCCGGTGGTTTCAACCGGCGGGTGTTTTGAGCTAGCTGTGACATGTGGTAGCGCCAACTGGGCTGAATGGTGCGCTGGCAAGTCACAGCGGGACACACAATAGGGCTGATTACATCACGCAGCACGCTCCACATGTAGAGAAAAATGGAACGTGCGCAAGGTTGATCCCACATTGCTGTAAGGACCCCAGAAAAACAGGTCAAACTAAGCTCAAAACCCTTCACTCTTTCTGGGAGAGAGGGGGCTTACTAGTGCTGTTGTTCACCGCAAAGCTACAAAAGGTAGAGGGTAGATTTGAATATATCAGTTTTGTCGCCATCAGCCTACTAGGAAAACCTGAAGCAAGTTGTCTTCCATTAACAGCTGAGGATTCTTCTTGCGCCTCAAAATTCTTGCTGCGAACTTGAAGTATTTGTCCGGAAAAAGAAGACTTGTTTTTGCCCGGTTAGGAGTTCTGAGGGGTTGATTTCATGGTGTAGAAGCATGTGTCACCGGCACCACCTCAGCATCGCCAGCAAAGCATCCTCTGCGGAGCCTTCCCAAAGGCGCCTCTTTCTAGGCGCCGTTTTCAGACAGCGCGAGACAGCTAGCCACCCCCAGCAACACCCCCAGCATCACCAGCAACGCATCTCTTTGCGGAGCCTTCCCCAATGAGGGTTAAACTAGTACCCTTCAATCGCCGCAAGACAGCCAAACACCGACCAGCATCACCAGCAACGAGTCCTTTGCGGAGCCTTCCCGAGTGGGGACTAAATTAATACCCACTTTCAAACGCCACAAGACAGCCAAACACCGCCAGCATCACCAGCATCGCCAGCAACACCCCCAGCATCACCAGCAACGCATCCTCTGCGGAGCCTTCCCAAAAGGCACCTGAATTTAGGTGCCGTTTTCAGACAGCCCCAGCATCCTGTGCGGAGCCTTCCTTCGTGGGGGCTAAATTAGTACCCGCTTTCAAAGGTGGA